ATGAACTTGTTTGTTCTCTTAGCAGTCCATGGTATATTCAGTACTCTTCTCCAGCACCACATCTCAAAGGCATCAACTCTCTTTCTATCATCCCTAGTCATTTTCCAGCTCTCTGATGCATAACAAGTAATGGCAAAGACCATGGCCTTGATCAGGCACATCTTAGTCTCCAGACTGATATCGTTGCTCCTCAGTATCCTGGAAAGGATTACCAGTGCAATTACTCTTTTCATTTCCTGGCTGCTGGTACCAAGAATGTTGATTGTAGAGCCAAGCAAACTGAAACTGTCAACAATCTCAATCTCTTCACCATCTGTCATGCTGCCAATCAACCCAGTGGTGAGAACGTTTGTTTTCTGGATGTTGAGCTTCAATCCATATTGAAGGCTGCAATCCTTGACCTTCTGCATCAAGCACTTCAAGGTCCTCCTCAATTTCAGCAAGCAGCATTGTGTCATCAGCATAATGCTGATTATTGATGAGTCTACCTCCAATCCTGATGCCACACTTCTCCTCATAAAGCTCAGCCTCCTGGATAATCTGTTCCATGTATAGATTGAAAAGGTATGGAGTAGGACACATCCTTGATACACTCCTTTCCCAATTTTGAACCATGCAGTGTTTCCTTGCTCTGTTCTGACCACTGCCTCCTGGTCCAAAGATAAATTTCACAAAAGCACAATCAAGTGTTCTGGGATTCCCATTCTTCTCAAAGTCAGCCACATTTTGTGTGATCCACAGTCAAATGTGTTTGCATAGTCAATGAAACATAGATAGACATTCCTCTGGTACTTTCTGCTTTCAGCCAAGATCCATCTGACATTAGCTATAATATCCCTAGTGCCACAGCCTCTTCTAAATCCAGCTTGTGCTTCAGGCAGTTCTCTGTTGATGTGCTGTTACAGTCATTTTTGGATGATCTTCAGCAGAATCTTGCTTGCATGTGATATCAATGATATAATTTGATAATTTCCACACTCTTGTCAGATCACCTTTCTTTGGAATGGGAACAAATACAGATCTCTTCCAGTCATTAGGCCAGGTGATTGTCCTTCACATTTCTTGGCACAACTTGGTGAGCACATCAAGAGCAGCATCTTTTTGTTGAAATATGTCAGTCAGTATGCCATCAATTCCCGGGGCCTTGTTTTTTGCCAATTCTTTCAGAGCAGCTTGAACTTCCTCATCACCACAGGCTCTTGCTCATATGTTGTTTCATTAAATTTTTCTGTGTTCACCAATTCCTTTTGGTACAACAACTCTGTATACTCTTTCCATCTTCTTTTAATGCTTAAGCTATAGAATTCCCCCAAGTTAAGCTGCATCCCTTTTTTTTTCTGATGTAGACCAGTACTGCATCTCTTGTTAGGTGAAACATATTAGTATCCCATTGATTTCTGGGGACTTATTTTGTGCCACTGCCTCCAGTGCAGCTTGAACTTCTTCCTTTGTTTACATCTCAGTATCAGGAAAACACAAAATTCCCAAAAATGAGCCAAAAGGCAACATCATAATAGAGGAAAGATTGAAATTGTCAGTAATTTCATCTTACTTGGATACACAATTAGCACCTTTGGTACCAGCAGTCAAGAGACCAGGAGGCATATTGCATTCAGTTCTCTGTCAAGGACCTCTCCAAATTAATGGGGAGCAATGGCATCAGTTTGAAGACTAAGATGCATTTAATTCAGGCCATGGTCTTTTCAATAACTTACTATGCATCTGAGGGCTGGACAATTAATAAAGATGACAAAAGAAGAGTTTATGATGCCTTTGAGCTATAGTGTTGGAGAACAATACTGACTATCCCATGGACTGCCAAAAGAACAAACAGATATAGCCTGAAGAAAGTGCAGCCAGAATACTCCTTGGAGGCAAAGCTGGCAAAGCTTCATCTCACATACTTTGGGCATGTTATAGGTACTTTTTAGAAAGGGATGTAATTCTTGGAAAGATGGAAGGTCATCCAAAGAGGTGAAGACCCTTAATGAGATAGACTGACATAGTTACTTTGGCAATGGGCTTAAGTATGTCAGACATGGTGAAGAGGGATAGGATAGGGTTCAGTTTTGTTGTTCATAAGGTTGCTGTAAGTTTTAATCAACTCAAGGGCACCTAACAACCTGCCTTATCAAGGAGTTATGTTGTCAATCCAAACCCAGAACACACACTTCAAATCAACCAGCTGCTCTATGGGAGAAAGATGGTCAGTCACCTCTGGTGCAATTTGCTGCCTCTAAAAATCTGCTGGGGTGTCAACTATGAGTCATTTCTGTCTCAACGGTACATAGCAATAGAGCATGACTGTCAAATTTCTCAAATATCCCTGTTCCATTTCTTACTTGTCTGCTGATCTATTGTTTGCCCCTTCCAATAGCACAACCTAGAAAGCTGGCCTTCCCTGGTACTTTTATTGTATTTGAAATCAACTTAGCCCCATCAGCAGTATAACTACTGGTTTTCATTACTATTTCTGCCAGTTTTGAGCTACTAAGTTAATGGAAACAGAAGTAAGGGGAACAACAACATTGTTCAAAGTTATTTCACTCAAAATATTTTGCTTTAGTTGAATGTTAAAGTTTTGGGTTTTTTTAAAAAAATTACTACAGTGACCATCTCAATGAAATTCATTCATTATGAATTATCACCTGCAAATCAGTATAATCTACCTTTTAATTAGTAAATCTTTTGAAAAATGAGTGGAATGACAAAATTGTACTACTAATTTGACTTTTTATGATTTTTTTTATTTTTTAAACTTGACTGTTTTATTGGAATGATTACGCAAGCTAAATCAGCTTTTACTCCATTTTAAAGTTATTTTATTCACACTGTTAAGAAAAAGGTACAGATATCTATAAATACGAAAAGATTAGCTGAGCCTTATCCTTCTCAACCCTGACTTACATGTCTGCTTTTAATCTAGAGCCAAATAACTATCGGACTATGCATGGCCGGGCAGTAAATGGTAGCCAGTTGGGAAAGGATTATATCCAGCTGAAGAGCCTGTTGCAGCCCATCCGGATTTACTCCAGAGCCAGCTTGTATGGCCCTAATATTGGGCGGCCCAGGAAGAACGTAATCGCCCTCCTTGATGGGTAGGTCAGACTATTTAGTTGTTCTTGTGATATTATTCATCAATGTAATAGATTAATGCACTTGTATTTTTCCTAGTTATTTTCATCGTCTTAAAATGAGAATAGATTTTTTTTTCAAAAGACAATCCAAATTTAAATCAGGGATTCTTTAGTCAAAAGTGTGGAAGAATTTTTAATTTCTCTAGGCTCTACGTACATAAGTGGTAGATGGTGGTAGGTGGGTGTGTTGGAGTAAAGAGAAAGGTAGTACAAGTTTGGGTTAAAAAGGAGGCATACTGTGAAAAACCACATTTACAGAATTCACAGTATAATTTTGTGTTTTAAAAACACACACAAACAAGTATTCACTATATTTAAAATAATTGAGAACTACTATAAACTACTATATATTAAAGAAAAATTTAACCAATGGATTTAGTAACAAATACCCTGAAGAATGATACCGCTTTATTTATTTCATTTTGACTGAGCATAGCAATCATTTTTCAGCATTAGTTATGGATTAGCCATTATGTTGAACATTCTCTGCCTCAGGCCTTTAGGTAAGGCGAGGCTCAAATTGCCCAAGTGAAACATACATGCAGGTGAGAACCAGTTATCAAGCTCAGGGGGAATATCTGGCTATGAATGCGTTGTCAGCAAAGAGGTAGAATTATGGTCAGAGGGAGCCAAAATGTAATTGAAGCAGGAAAGGTGAGAAAAACATGAGGGTGAAAAATTAAGTTTATCTGGAACACAGGGCATACACCAAGACATACCTCTTATGGGACACACTTTGAATGGGTATGGCTATTCCTTCAAATCCAGGAAGAGTAAGACATTTTGAGTAAAAATAAGACAAATACAAAGATCAATTGACCAATAACTAACATTTTAGTTAGCAACCAAATGCCTAGTCCTTATTCCGTTGAGGCTTCTCCAGTGTCATTTTACATGTTATAATTAGGTGGTAGGAATCATGTTTGTTGAACTTCATGCATTTTTCAGGAATTCATAATAAAATAAAGCTAGTAATTGTTATTTATGTTCATATAGTTATGCCTTATACTTTTTCCTTGTTGATTTCATTTATGCACTCTAATGGGACTGACAGTGATTTCTCAGTCATGACACAGCCATGACTGTATCAATCACTAATTCTGTTAGCAAATGTTTCTAGAGCAACTACAAAGTTCAAGGTACTATGTTAGGAACTGAGGATAGAATAGCGAACAAAACCAAGTATTCTCTTTGCTGTGTGGCACGTGCAATTAACCAATTATTGTGGAGAAAATATTGACCAACTAATCTTAAACTTAGACAATACCATGGAGAGTTAAATAGTGCTATGAATATTTATAGGGCCTAGAAGATTAATTGAGTTGGGGAAGTCATAGAAGGCCCTACAGGAAATGGCACCTAACAGGAGGAGAGCCATGTAAGACATGATCTAATGGATGAGTAAGAATTTGCTAAGCAAAGCGAGAACACAGAATATACTGTTCTTGCCAGGGGCAGGGAGAAAAACATGGAAAAGTGCTTGTATACAAATACTGGGAATATAACCTAAAGAAACCAGAACTGCCACTCAGGCAGATATATGCACACCCATATTTATTGCAGCTTTGTTTACAATAGCAAAGAGTTGGAAACAACCTAAGTGCCCATCAACAAACAAATGGATAGAGAAGCTCTGGCATATTCACACAATGGAATACTATACTGCATTGAAAAACAAGAAACTCATGCAATATTATTAACAATGGATAACCCTGGAGGACATTTTGCAGAGTGAAGTACCTCAGCCACAAAAGGACAAGTCCTGCATAGTGCCACTGTTGTAGAACGGGACTGACATCAGGGTGGGGTGAGACTAAAAAAAATTGGATAAATTATCTATACTGCATTGAAACAAGTGAGGGAACCATTTAAAAGCCATATATGATTACATATTTTAGTTATGACAAGAGTCTAGAATGAAGGTTGCATAGTGGAGTTTACTCAGGGGTAGGGGCAGGAATTTTATACCAGTAAAGGAATTTTTATTTTACTTTTCAAAGAGAAGAGTGAACTGGGGGAGAGGGAGCAGGGAGAAAAAATGCAAAAATGAATGAATGGAAATTCAAAATCTTTGTAAATGTTCATTAAAATTAATAAAATAATTTTTTTAAAAAAAGGCTAGGTTTGGAAGAGAAATGTATAATTAGAACAGTAAGAAGGAATCATACGACATGGACACTTAGAGGCATGCTATGTGGCTTGGAGTATTTTCTAAGTGCAGTGAGGAAGATATTCATTTCTAAGTGATGAAGAAAATAATTTGCTTTATTGTATAATAAGTATTCTTGAAAATGAGTTGGAGACGAAACTGGGAAATCAATGAGAAGTCTGTTGAAAGAGTGCCAGAGAAAGAGTACTAGATACCTGGACTGGCATGGTGACTGTGGAATATGTCGCCGGAGGCAGAATCTCTGTGCACCTCTCCACTGAAATGTGTTTCTCAAACTCATGGCCATCAGGTTGGAACCTGCTCATAACTGACCCTCCGGCAACTCTTCTGAAGCTATACGTTGCATGGAAGGAGATTGCCATCTTTCTCCCATGAAGCCTCTGGTGTATTTGAACCACCAGAAAGGTGGTTCTAGCCTTTAGGTTTGCAGCACAGCTTCCTACAGACCAGACCACCAGAGCCACTTTGTTGCCAACTCTAATGTGATTTTATGCGGTTATGGTGACATAGTGCATAGCTTGTTACATTGCTAATCAAAAAGGTTAGTGGTTCAAATACACCCAGTTCTCTGAGGGAGAGAGCTGGACAATCTCCTCCCATTAAGATTTATAGCCATGGAAATCTAGTGGAGGATGATGAGGAGACAAAATCGAAGGGGTCCAGAAAAAAAAAGAGAAGATGAGAAAATCACCAGGACAGCAGAGGTTAGTGTAGAGGGTAAGGGTGGCCAAGATGAAGGAATAGGAAAGAGTCAATGGGGATTTGAAAAGACAGAATGGTAATAGGCATAGATAAATAGTAATTAATTACGTAAAATACAATGTATATGAGAGATTTTATGAAACAATGTGCATGAATGAAGTACAATGTATATGAATAATTACACGCAAACCAATTGAAAAATGGAGAAGGAATTTTAAAAAAAAGCCAAATTACAAAAAAAAAACAACAACAAAGGAGTTGGTTATGGGAGTGGAGGATGTGACACAGAGGTGATGGGAAGAGTAGATAAAGAATGGATAAATACTTCTTTTATTTAGGTAGGCGAAGGGAAGGTAAAAAAAGAAAAGGCTTTTACAGCACTGGGCTTAATGTCACTTTCTGTCCTGATTCTTTCCCTCTTGATATCCTAGCATCACTCCTGTCTTGTTTGGCTTTCTTCTCTCTTGGTGATGCAGTACCCTCTTACCTTTCTGCTCACTCCTTCTTTCTCACATCTCTAACTGTTGAAGTTCCTCTCCTAGGTCTCTGTTTCTTTCTTTAAGTGCAACTCCATATCGACTGCACCAACAGAGACCCTTTACTAGTTTTTTTAAAGTGTAGTTGAGCATTCCAGTTTGTAAACTTGTATAAATGTGAGCGTCATAGGTGCTGGTTTGTTTTGAATACATCAAGAAACTTTGACATAATAATAAAGAACTGTTGAAAGATCTGAGAGTGTGACGGGTTGTTGTGGTGGTAACAATAATATATATCAAAAAACCAGGACTCAGGAGAGAAGTGAAAAACGTTTAGGGAAAGTAAAGATACTGATGAGAATTTTTTTCCGCAGAAAAAAAAGAAAAGATTTATCTTTCTTAATGTATATACACCAAATATGCTGTGAAATATAACTAGGAACACATAAACATCCCCAGCAACTTTAACTAACAATAACAAAAAATGTCAGCACTCTAAATCACCAGCCCTGTAGTCTTTTCCAAACCTCCTGGTTATACAAATAAAATTTTACATAGTTGTGATCCTTGTATATGTATCATTTTGAGTTCTGCATTTTTCCCTCATTGCTTCATATGGCCTTTTTCTTATTTCCACATAGTTCTCATATTTGTCATTCTTAATAGCAATAAAATATCCTCTTGCATTTATGTGCCAAAGTCTGCCTAAGTATCTCTCACTGTTGGGTGGTTGGGCTCTTTCCAGTTTTTGCCTGTAATATATAGCAAAACTATAAACATCTTTATACAAATAGGTTTTTTATTTCCTTAAAATTACATCTTTGGGCTATATATTCCAAACGGGGTTACTGGGTCAAAGTATATGATAATTTTATGGTTCTTTCATTTGTTGCCAATTTTGTTTTCAGAATGATTTTATCAGGTTACAGAGCAAAAAAGTATTAGGGTATTCACACACACACACACATTGTTGTTGTTTGGTGCAATCCATTCCGTTTCAACTCAGAGCAAACTTATTTTCAACAAAACCAAACACGCCACCTCACAGTGTTTGCTATGTTTGATTTGGTCAATTTCATTACTGCGTTGAATGTCAGTCTTCTTGCTGAGAGCCTTCCTTTTACTCACTAACTTCCTTTTCTTCTTTAGCTAACATACTATTCTTCCCCAAGACTGTTGTTATTGTTGTGTATCATCCAGTTGAACCCAAACCATAACTGACCCTACACTGGGTTTTTAGAGGCAGTAAATCACACGGGAAGAGATGGCTGATGGATTTGAACTGTATACCATTGCTATTGGCAGTGCAATTCCTTACTTATGGGAACAGTCAGTGTGTCAGAGATGATGAGGTTGGCTCAGAAGAGGGAAAGGTTCAGAGGTATTGTTCATCAGGTTGTAGTTATGAGTAATAGTCTGCTCCACCGCACATAACAGCAATAACAACACAAGGGAGCTCTGATGGCCTGATGGTAAGAAGCTATGCTGCAATCCAGAGGCTCAGAGTTCTAATCCACCAACTGCTTTGAGGTAGAAGGATGGGAAGCCTCCTCCCTGTTTGATTTCCTGCCTCTGAAAACCTGCTGAAGGGTCAGCTGTGGGTCAATTCTGAC